GTTAATACACTCTTCCACTCTTTAGGAATGGCTTTTAACAAACATGAATATTCTGACATCCAGTTATGTTTGGCATTCAGTTTATTTCTAAGCTCAAGAGATGGGAGAAAATTGTTGTTTTTTATGATGTCTTTAACCTTTAATATTCCTGAGTTTATCCAATTCCGGTAATATACAGAGTTATTATTTATACACACAAATTTGTTTCCCCATAAATATTGTTCAGCAATATCACTGAAACATTTGGGATATAAAAACTGCATATCATTGACATGTGACATTGCTTTTAAAATAGAAATATAGAAGTGGGGTATTTTAATACATTGAGGTAATTTTGTAAAATTTGAGATAAGGCAAGTTGGTCCAAGTTTGTATGTATAATAAATAATAAAGTTCTTAACCGTTCTGAATCGACAGAACAAGTGGTTGTCATTGACTACCGTACCACAGTAGTTGACAAGCTTCAACAATGCAAAACAAAAGAAGGACCCTAGAGGGAAAAATGTATATTATTTAAATTAAAAAAGGTTAGAATATAATCGGAAAAATATACATATAAAAGTAACGCATTGAAAATATATGTTTAAATGTCGTACATTACTATGAAAATAGCGATAAAGAATTAATAGTTAGCCATCACGATGGACTGACCTATTTTAAAGAAAAGTGCAATGCAGAACAGTACAACATAAAACCTATTAATTGTAAATTATGTAATGATGAAATGTGAGAAAAAATGACCCCACAAAAGACAAAAATAATAATAATAATAATAAAATTAATTGGCAGTAATGATTATAAAAATAAGCGTATGCTTACTGATGATGATAATAACGACATGACAAGTAGGAAAATCGTCATCTTAAAAAAAGAAATTACTATGTCGAATATGAGATATAAAATATACTATTAGAGTATAATAGAAAATATGGAACAATGTGTCTTTTATTGAATTTGTCATAACAAATATTTTATGCTATGACACATGCACGAGTAAATTAACGAGAAGTTGATAGGCTAGACTGAGAATAACTCATCTCGACAATGCTGGTTAGGATGTAACTCGATAAACAGGACAACTGATTTCAACAATGTACCAGTAAACGGTTGGATAGTAACATTGTTTATGAGATTAAGCCAGAATATGAAGTGTTATTTTTTTTATATCAGTGATTAAGGCCTATCTGTATTAAATCGCCAATATAAAAGCTTTGCAAATAGAGGGTTCAGTTGGCAGATGTTGTGGAAAGAATATCAATTACTTGTTGGCATTATTTTGAGGTGGACCCTTTGGACAAATATGAGAAAACATCATGAATAATTCTTGATAAATTATTGGCATCGGCATATGTATAACGTTTGGTGCTGGATGGGAAACGTTCATATCCCATATGTCAAGGATATGTATGCCCAAATCAGAAAATAATTCATGGTATAGTTCATATATATCATGCAGCATTTTTTCCCCGGTATAAATATTATCTCCCCCCTTCTGATGGTACCTTGGGTGTGGCGTTTTCACCATAACCTGTGCCTTGGGACAACGTTTCATGAATCGTATGAGTGTTTCCCGCAACAGACGCATTCGTTCCCAGGTACTTTCCTTAACCCACTGCGAGTAATGTGCCCATGGACTGACCATGACAACGTAATTGCACGCACTGAAATTGAGGTTGTCCAGGACTTCATACTCCCACTTACCAACCCGATAATGGTACCCAAGGGAGCCCATGCTATACGGATGAAAATAGAAATCGAAGGCCAAAATATCACTGTGATGAGTAGTATGCTTGGGAGTCACATGTTTTGTATAATTGCTGTTTCCAACTCTCATAAGTTTCAGTATTCCATCGCGCCATTGTCTAGTAGTTGAGTCCCCCATAAGTATGAGTTCTTTCCCTTTAAGGCACTGAATTAGCTCAGGTCTTGTCCACTGTCTCGTTTTACATTGCAATGAAGTCCATTTAGATCCCGGAGTCCAAAATCCATCAATTAGTGGAGTCGGCAAATTTGCTTTGCATTCTGGTAGAGAAAGCATCTCAAGTAATGATTTTTGCCCTGAAATTTAAATCAAAGGGACGCCGGATATTTAAAAAGTAGATTGGATACAAACAAAAAGGAATGTAAATATAATATAAATACAGGTAAATGGGCATACTGGTTATTACTAAGCATAACATATCTTTGGTAAAATGAGTCAAATGTTTAAATGTTTTTTTAAATTAAGATCTCCTTGGTAGAAATTTCATTTTTTATGATCTTTTTTATGAATATTATGTGATCTATTTGAATAGGCCTATAATGTTATCCTCAAAATTCCAGCCCCATGAAACCAAGACTTGGATATAAGAGAATGTGTCCTGCGGAGATATCCCTGACGAGGGGGAAAATTTCCCACGAGAACAAAGTGGGCGTGATCGAACGTCGCTATAAATGCCTTGTAAGTGGTCTAGAGGGCTAAGCCCCCGAAATTTTGACAATAGGGGTTTCAAAGGCTTATTTAATCGATTTTAGAGTCTACTAATA